AAAGGTGTCATTTGGGGTTGCTGGGATGACCCAAACCATTTGGTCTCTGAGCTTCGCCATCAAACATGGATTTTTCACATCCCTCTCCCTCCCTGAGAAGCCACCTGAACGCCCAGAGTCAAAAGAATGATGCTGTGCATCAAATGGTGAGGCTTCTCCAAAAAAGATTTATTTCTTTAGAATTTATTTCTGGGAATTAAAAATTTTTGATGGTATTTTTTTTTCCCTGAGTAAAAAAAAAAATATTGAATCGTGTGCTAATTGCCACTTGTAAAAATCCCCCAAATACTCTGTTCTGAGTAGCAATTTCTGATCAGATCCAATCACCACTCTTTTGTCTCGAAATTTGTTATTAATTAACAGAATTGCAGATAAGACCTTTTCCATTGCCAGAAAACTGACTTTTTTGGGCCTCACATTCAAAAAGTTGGGTATTTTAGTCTGCTTCTTGGGAAATTATGGGAAAAAAAAAATACAACAGAGTCCAAATCTTCTCCTTTTTCAACAGTTATGGTCATGAGCAAGCACGACATGGTCAGGTGAAAAATAAAGGTCATTTTTGGGGGAGCTGGGAGGGGTTTTTGTGTGTAGGGTGGTGGTTTGGGGTTTTTTGTCTGCAACAGGAGTACCTTCACTGAGAGTCTGGGCTTGGTTTGACCAAGCCCCAGCAAGGCAGAAGAACCCTTCCCATCCCTCCAGAGGTGGAATAGCCTGGCCCTCTGCAGCCTGGGTCTGCAGGGTGTGGCCCCAGCTTTAGGTCCCTGATCTTTAGGGATTTACTGATGATTTCTTGTGTCCCAAACCAGGACCTCCACCTCAGGCTTTGCCCCGCTCTCAGTCTGTGCCTCACTTTCCTGTCTCTGCCTGCTAATTCCAACCTCATGGAGATATCCTGAAGTTTAATTAGCTGCGGGCAAAGCCCTCAGAGATTCTTGGAAGAGAGACACGAGAGAAGCTGAAAGTATTAATTTAACATCATTAAAATAATTGGTTGGTGGCTGGCAAGCAGAGGGTGAGCACCAGTGGTGCTTCTTCTTAATGGGAGATGAGGAGGAAATAACATTCCTCATGGCTCAGTGGTAGGAGCAGCTCCTCAGTGTTTGTGTTAATGGTTTTGGACAAAGCAGGACATTTAGAATTGTTAAAGACGCAGCTGATAATGAAGGAGCAGCACATCCAGAGAAGTGTCGTGTCTGCACCACAATCAAAACAAGCTCAGGGGTGGGAGATGCTCTTTTAGGGGCCTGAAGTGGAATGTGGTGCCACTGGGAGCTACACATCACCCGGTGATGGTGGGACTTGCAGGGACTTAGGGAATGTGGCAGCGGAAAGCGATCTCGGTGTGCGGACACCCCCGGAATGCTGGGGGCACAGATATTTTATTAAAGCAAATTTAGCAGTAAAAAGGGTTTTCTGCTGTACAAACAATAATAAACACACCAGATGAGAGTCACAGGAGCTCCCAGGGCCCAAGGAAGACAATGACTGTCACCAGAGAGAGCAGAAATGATGTGTTGAGGTTGAGATATTTCATTATCACTCCCTCAGCCCAGCTGCTGAGTGCAGGCAGCTGCCTTCCAGGTGACCACTCCTATAGGCAGCAGGGCAGGCTGGAAGTACTTATTTATTAAAAGTCCCATTTGCCTTAATTTACAGTTTGCTGAACTTACTTCTGGGGCTGCCACGTGCCCTCTGGGCAGATGCTTCTGTGACCAGATCCTTTGTCACTTTTGTTTCTGCGTCTCAGCCTTCACCATCCAGGGATTTGAGACTGGTGCTGGAGGGAAAGACTTTCCTCTGCACATGTTGGAACAATTTCCTCTGCCATTTCTTCCTCTCTTTGGGGAGGGCAGAACATTTTTGGTGGTGCAGAGGAAGGCTGGAGGGAGATGGTTACTTTATGTCAGGTATCTTTTTCTGCTCAGCTGAACTGTAGGGTCACAGAAGGATTTGGGTTGAAGGGACATTACAGATCATGCAGTTCCACCCCCTGCCATGGGGCTCTCATCCCAGGTTGCTGTAGGCCTCGTGCAACCTTGGACACTTCAAGGGATGGGGCAGCCACAGCTTTTCTGAGCAACCTGTGCCACGGCCTCACCACCCTCTGAGTAAAGAATTTTTTCATAATATCCAACCCAAATCTCCCTTCCTTTAGGGTAATCCATCATGGGAGAACCCACCACGTTGTGCCTCTGGAGAATCTCAGCTGCAGGTGCTGGGCAGACCAGCAACACCTTGGGTGATGTGTGAAGCCACAGGATGCTCCAGCTTAGGGTAGATGAGGTGGTCATGGGAGAGGAGATGGGGAAACCACGGACAAAGTGCTCTGGAGGGGAGCCACCATCACCCCTTTCTGCATGCACAAACCCCTGGCAGGTGGCTCCATCCCTTTAGATTCGATTCCTGAAGCAGCTGTGGTCACTCACCCATGGTGCTGACCCCAGAGCCTGAGCCCTGACCCAGAGCCCAGCTCGGTGTGGTCCAGCTCAGCAGAACTCCCCCACCATCAGACTGGAGCACCAGGCACAGGTGTTGAGTGTTATAAGTGCTTTGGCTTTTCCAACTGAGGCATTGCATGGAAAAAGTCAGACGGTGAAAGTCGAAAGTTTGGAAGTGGCAGAATTGAGGTCACCGTGGAAAAAAGGAATAATAACCTGTGATCCTGTAATTAAAGTCTGGCTTGCAGTGTGTGAGTGCAGGGAGCAGATTTGGAAGTACAGAAGCTGCTTTCAGTCTGGCAGTCCCTAATTCCTGATACCCTGACACAGCAGCCTTAACATTATATTAAAGCCAGGCTTAGTTTGGTTTGGTTTTTCATAAATTCATATTTTGGATGACATTATTTTCACCTTATGGCAGATATCAAGGCTGCAGAGCACATCAGTCTAACATGGACCGAGAGTTTGGTTTGAAAAATTGCATGTTTTAAATGTGTATGACCTGTAAACAACAAGGTAAAATGTGGATTATTATATTCCTGCTCAGTTGGGGGATTGGGAATACAAACCACATTCCAGGATGCTTAATCCATATCCATAGATTTGAACTGAGCCTGGATATCTGCCTGTTTAATTTTAGAAAATCCAGATATTGTGCTGCAGCTGAAGGAAATAAATGGGAGGTAACAGAACATCTGGAAGAATTTGGGCGCTTGTGTTTTGATTCTGAGCCCAAAAAGGTTTCCCTTCCAAACTATTCCCAGGAGAGGAGTTCCCACACCCTGTGGAGCTTTAGTGGGATTGCTGTGGCTGTTTGTTTTATGGAAGTGCTTGGAAAAATCTCAGGTCAGCATTTTGCCTTTTGGCTTTTGTGCCACCATGGGGGACTTACAGTTTTGGGGGTATTTAATGGGCTATCAATCCAACCCTCTGGAGAGTGCCCGTTTAAAATTCCTGATCCAGCATGTGGCAGTGCCAGAGGAGATTTAATGGGATGAGAGCTCCTGGGGAACAGAGAGCAGGAGCTGCAGTGCTGCTTTTGCTCTCTCAAGTCTGCAAAGTGTGTTGAGAATGGCCAAAATGTCCCTTTATGGATCCTGCCTCTGGAAATACGAAATTTTCCTCTGCCAGAAAGATGGGGAAATTGGAGTTTGGGGTTTGGGGTGTTCACTTTATCTAGAGACAGTCACTAGAGAGAAGCCAAGCCCTAAAGTTTTAGGCAGCACCAAGCTTTGTAACATTTGGATTATCCATATACTGAGTTTTTGGTGTGTGTTTCCATGGATCCTCATCTGCAAATCCCCATGCACAAGGGTGCAGTCTCTGCTCCAAGGAGTAGGGGTGCTGAGGGGTGATCCTGGAGCTCCAGCAGCCCCCAGGCTCTCTCCCAAATGAGACTGAAGTCTGGGAGCGGGTGAATAATTTAACGTCCACACTTAAGTCTTTATAGCTGGTTTTAATGGGGGGTAATAGCACTGCTAATAACAAAATCCATTGAAGACACCCTGTGCAAGTCCATAACATTAACTTAATGGCAGAAGGTAATTGGCATGCAGCTGGAGCTGTCCTCTTGGATTAACCCTGTGGATTTCCAGGCAGACACCTTCCTTGAAGCAATGGCCTTGGCAGCGTGTGTGGAGTGAAATGCAGATGTGGTTTATGTTATACAAGTGCAAACCTGGGTGGAAATGGGGCAAACAGCCACCAATCCACTTTTCAGGGTTGTGTTTGCACCACACAAGTGAGATGAGGGGTGGTGACAGCACTGAAAACATCAACAGTGGCATGAACTCCACGCATTTGTGCAGCCCAGGTGTGTGAACCCACAAATTTCACTGAGCTGTCACTTATTGGGAACACCTGAATCTTTAAGATTCAGCTCTCAGCACTTCTAGTCAGGATTTTCAAGCCACATGCAGAAAACTCCTTAATCTGCAGGGACAGCTGCTCGGGAGTGTCCCCCTGCCAGAGGTGAGGTACCAACAGCCCAGAGGCACCACAAGTGTGCAGAGTTCTCAGGAGGGACAAAAAACATGGGCTGTACACGGCTTCTCTACAAGGAGAGCCCTGCCTGAGGTGTCCCACAGCCCTTGGACAGGAGAGTTTGAAGGGCTGGGGGTCTGGCCCAGGGAAGGTTGTGCTGCACCTGCTGTGTGGGTGGAGAGACAGAATTTCTGCAGCGGGGATGGAGCTTTCACACAGCCCCCTCCCTCCTCTTGCCGGTTCCTTGCAACTCCCCAGCCTGCTTGAGCAATCCCACAGCTGCCAGCACTGGAGTTAATGCTCTCAGACACGTGCTGGGACTCTTGGGAATGTCCTGTGCAGGGCCAGGAGCTGGACTCCATGCTCTGTGTGGGTCCCTTCCGGCTCAGGAGATCCTCTACAATTCCATCAGCCAGAGCGCGCCAGGGCACAAGTGCAATTTTCTGTCTGGTGCTGTCCCAAAGAGCACAGGGCCGACTTTCTATGCACACTGATTGCTGCTCCCACACCCCAGAGCTGTCCCCACCCTGCCAGCCTGGCTCTGTGCTCACTCTGCCGCTGTCTGTCCCTGTTTTCCAGCTGCACGAGGAAGGAGCGGTGCGAGCGCTCCAGCGAGCCGCGCAGATTCGCCTCGGAGATGAAGCAGTGCGTCCGCCTCACCGTGCACCCCAACAACATCTCCGTCTCCCAGTACAACGTTCTGGTGAGGAATGACAATCCCTGCCCCTCTCCTCGGGTTTAACCTGCCCCTGCAGCGTGACAGACCCAGGGATTCAGCGCCAGTGGGAAGGACTGGCAGCAGGAGGCTCTCCAGACTCCGTTAAGTTCCCCAGCAACTCTTCCAGAGCAGGGAGACATTTCCCACAGGAGGATATTTTGGCATTGGTTATTTTCTGTTTAGAAGTCTAGAAATGGACTAGGAAGAGTTTTCCTTGTTGTCTGTGAGGGCAGGTCTGAAGGGACTCTGTGTTCTGCAAGTGTTGTGTGTTGCCCTGGGAGAGGAATTAATTAAAAATTTTAGGCAAGGGACATTTTCATGGTTAGAAATTGCATTCTAGAGGAAAGCCAGGTGAAGGATGATATGAATTATTTCAGTGAGCTCCAAGTTCCCATCATTTTGGATGGAAATGTCTCCTTCTAAGCCCCCAGGAACTCCATCCTGCTCCAGCACTAGGCACGCAGAGCAGAGGCAGGATGCTGTGCAGAGGAACCCACAGCTTCCAGGGCTCCTGCTGTCTCCTGTGACCTTCTGCAGCATGAGGTTTAACCTTTCTGGCTTCAAGCTACTCAGTCAGCAGCCAAGGAAACCACACAGTGAATGCTGGCAGAGCAGCAGGTGATCCTGGCCATCCCTGGGTTTGAGGCAGGAAATCACTGCTGAAGATCTGACCAGTCTGTGGTTTCTCTCCTGGCTCGTGGCAGCAGGACCAGATGTGGTGAGATCCCAACATGCTCCAAGAAGGAGACAAAACCCCATTTCTCTCAGGCTACCGGTGCTCTGTCTTTTTGACCATGCTAATTTGGGCTGCAATTAAGTTGATAACCCAGGCCCTAAAAGCTCCATCTCGAGGAAAGCTGATCATTATCCCCACACCCTGAAAGGCCTAAATGGAGTTGCTCAGGGTGCAGCTGCCAGACACCTTCCAGGTGACAGGTTTGGATTTCTCCAGGGATAATGAAATCAGCCTTTCAAAGCCTTCATGTCCAGTCATTGCTGCTTTGTTTCAGCCTCTTAACTTTGCTGTGACTTTACTTTCCCCAGGCTTCAAACAAAACTGATCTGAGACATTTTAAGTTCTTTGTTCTTCTGGTAGTTCAAGGTTCCTTTTCTGTATTCTCTCAGTAGCTGTTGAATTCTTTCATGTTGGAATAAATCCTGGGGGACTGGCTGGCTCGGGGCGATGGAAAATGATAACGGAATAAGAGACCTTTACCTCTGGGTTACTCCCAGGGTGAGTCAGCCCAGAGCTGCTGGGATCAGAAGTTGACATCATCTGTTACCTAGCAATCTGCATGGACATTTTGATGGAAGCCTCAGCCCAGTCCCAGTTAAACTGGTGATCCAGCTCATCCTGTCACCAGAGGCAAACCAGGAGGGGAACAAACAGAGGCTTGGTGGTGTCATCAGCAAAGCTCTAGAATGCTAGAATCCTGAGTCCTAGCAAAGTGTCAGTGACAGTGAGTTCTTGCCCACGGAGGCAGAGCAGGTGTTCATGTGCTGGTTTTCCACTGATTGATATTAAGTAAGAAGGAAGAAACCACCCATGGAAATTATTTTTCTGAGAGAAGCTGCTGAAAGCTTCCTCTGTGCCTGGAAATAACCCATGGCTGTCTAGTTCTGAGATAGACAACTGATTGAACCATTCAGATTCAACTGATTGAACCACTTGGAAGTTGGATCTGCCTCTGTGAGATCCACATGTGGTCAGCCACACTTTTAAATTTTGAGCACTAACAGGGTCTTGGAAAAATCTCTAGCTGAGTCTGTTTCAGCCCAGGACTGCTGCTCTGGGCTCTCTGAGAAGAGCTGCTGGCTGGGGGCAGGCTCCATGCTGTCCCAGGAGTGTGGGATGTAGGACTCCTTGTCTGCTCGGGGTGTGCACTGGCCCATGGAGTTTGTGGCCAAGCACTGCTCTGCCCACCAGTGTCATCTTCTGCATGGCACAGCTTCCTCCTGCATCATCCATGCCCAGAGGGAGATTTGTTAAGGAGGATGGGTTCCCCTTCTCCATTGCTAGCAGGGAGAATGCATTCAGCCTCAGTGCTAAATCCATCCAAATAACCAAAGCTTTTTCCTGTTCCCCATCTGAGACAAAAAAAAAATTACCTTTCCCATTGCCTTTGCCATGGCCCAAAGAGGATCCTACTCTCACAAAGGCTTGGTGGCATCCAGGGCTAAAGCCTGTCTGCTCAGCTTTTCTCCCTGGTGGTCCTCGGTGTGGAGAAACATCTCCAGCCTTTCCCTAAGTGAGGAAAATGCAGTGTGGGAGCACTGAACGCTACGCCACCTTCTCATCCTGTCCTGCTTTGTCACCTGGCCTGACCCCTGCTCTTTGTGCTGGTAGAAACAACCCCTCAGCATGCAGCTGTGTGTCCTTGCAGTGTCTGTCACCTCAGAGGGGGCCTCAGCCAGCTCGGGGAGGAGGCAAGTGTGGAGAGTATCTGCATTTGAGCCTGTGCCGAGTGGTTGGCTCCAGTGTTCACTCACAAAAACACGAAATTTACACCAATTACCAGGTGCTAGAGGGTCCCCTGGGGTGCCCCTCTGTGTTCAGGCACGACCTTTGAGCAGGACCCTCAGTGATGGAGAGCCGTGGGGCAGGACCTTTGTTTGGGAAGTTGCCAGCACGACTGTGCTCCCCCAAAGCGTGGACATGGTGGAAACCAGCCCTGAGATTCCTTTTCCCATGACCATGAGCAATGTCAGAGGGTGTTGTGGACATTAAAAACATCCTTCCTTTTTTTTCCCCATATGGAGCCCCAGCATAGCACAAGGAGCCAACTGGTTCTTCGGTGGGATGGGCAGGAGATGTTTCTGTGCCTGTAGAGACAGGGTTGTTTTTTGTGGTGGACTGAAGGCTGTAACTAGACTCTCCTCACACAGGAACTTGGGGACAGAGTGCTCCCCCCTGCTGGTGCTGGCAGAGCAGGCCGTAGAGAGTTAGACTGGAGCGCTCCAGTTTCTCTGGAGTCTGCAGAGTGCCTCTTGTGAGTAGCAGTCACCTTCCTCAGAAACCGCGGGCCCTGGCGGCCACCACGGCCCCGGAACCCACGGCTGGCTCCAAAGACTCCCTGCCTAACCTGACACCTGCATGAGAGACGGCGAGCACTCCCTCCCCTGCACTGACCCAGCCAGCACTGGGGCTCCGTGCAGGTGTCCCTGCACAGCCACCTGCGTCAGCATCAGCATCTCGTGCCCTCCCCTCCTCACTCGCCCCCCTCCTGAGCCGCTGCTTTCTGCTGAAGGAGGATGCTCTCTCTAGCAAGAGGCTCTTTGTCCGACCTCTCCAGTGTAATTCTCTCCTGCTGGCCCAGCTCTGTGGTTTGGCTGAGTGTTCTCTCTTCTCTCGTTTTCTGCCTCTCCTCCTCTCCCTCTGCCTTTGCCTGCAGCTGGTCTTGGAGACCTACAACGTCCCCGAGCTGTCAGCAGGAGTCAACTGCACCTTCGAGGACCTCTCGGAGATGGATGGGTTGGTGGTGGGCAGCCAGATCCAGTGCATCTCTCCAGCTGCCAAGGAGGTGCCCCAGATCATCACAGAGAATGGTGAGTACCCCACAGCTCCTCCAGCTGCACCTCTCCCTCCCATCCTCAGCCCCCGCCCTGCGTACTCACAAAGCGGGATTTGGCTCCTGAGAGCCTGAGGAGAGGGCATGGAAAGCCCTGGGAGCAGGGGGGATGCTGGAGCTGCTCAGCAGCACGTCACAACACGAGCTGTGTGAATGTGAGAGTGTTTCAGGAGTGCAAGCCCAGAGCTGCAACCCCAGCAGCGGCACTGAGGTGCTCCTCCGTGTGACACCAGGTGTTTGCAGGCTGCCACCGAGTGGCAGCTGCACGTACCCAGCAAAGACAGCACATGGACTTGGGATATTCCCTCTTCTTTTGGCCAGGCTGGTGTTCCACACTAAGGGTACAGGATCTCAATGCACCCCATCCCATGTAACAGACAGAAATCCCTGCAGAGCTGGACAATCCTGTCTGTAATTTCACCCTGCTCCTCCCAGATTTAAGTCTGTGTGCTCAGCTCCCTGTCTCAATTCCCAGCCTCTACTGCCTTCAGCTGTTCCAGGTTTGCTTCTGGCTCCTTTTCCTAAAGTGGTCCAGCACAGAAAAACACCTTGTCTCCAAGGGTGCTTCCCCTAGCCACAGCTTCCTGCACTTTTTTCTTTCCCTTTTCTAACAAACTTTCTGGGTAATTTCAAGAGCTCCTGTGGCTATTAACAGGGACTTTCTATAGAAACCTTGACCCTGCTATCATCCCTGTGAGACACAGAGAGGATGCTGCCAATTCTTGTCCTTGGCTTCCTGTGAAAATTTGCTGTAAAATTTGCCTCTGGGGATCCACAGACTGCAGAAAATGAGGTGACATGAACTGTCACCATCGTCTGTGCTCTCCCTGAGCTGCACACAGCTGCTGTGCTCTCCACTGCAGTCCCAAAACAAGCTCCCAGGAGGTTGTCACCACTTTCAAGTCCCACGGAGTCATGTTTGCTTACCAAGACAGCTACCAGAAATTCTTTCCTTGGTATGGACAGCTGTTCCAGGCCAGGCTATCATCAACCAGCAAACAAAAATAGCAGTGAAAGGTGGAGACAGGACAAGAGGGAGAGATTTATCTGCTTTCAGGGCACCTGCAGCTTGTATCAGCTTCAGAGCTGCTGCTCTGCACCTCTGCAAAGTCCTCCCTGCAGTGCCAGAGGCTGGATTTGAACTAAAGAATGTGTGACTATCATACCTGGGGCCATCCATCCTCACATGCTGGTTTAAAATAGGTGCAAGACGCTGGCAGGGTTGTTAAATTCGGCAGAGCAGATGGGCAGCAGAGCCCAGCAGTTTGTGTTCAGTGGGGTTTGTGTGTGCCCCAAGGTGGGTGAGTGAGCACGAGGTGCTCGTTGTGACCCTTTGTCAGCAAGTTTGCTTTGGCCTCATTGATTAATGAATCTTTCAGGTGAGGAGGGAAATCACAGAATTATAGGATGGTTTAGTTTGGAAGAGCCTGAAAGATCATCTCATTCCAAACCCCTGCCATGTCAGGGACACCTTCCACCATCCCAGGCTGCTCCAAGCCCCATCCAGCCTGGCCTGGGACACTGCCAGGGATCCAGGGGCAGCCACAGCTGTGCCAGAGCCTCATCACCCTCACAGGGAAGAATTTCCTCCTAAAATCCCATCTAAATCTGTCCTCTTTCAGTCTTCCTTGTCTTATCACCCTTTCATAAATAGCAGGGAAAGGGCCACCCAGGCAAATCTTGAATTAAACCTGGGTCACTTCCCCACCAAATCATTGCAGTTGCTGCACCCTCTGGAATTGCAATTGCCCTCTCTGAACTGTGGGAAGAAGCAGCTGGTTGCTGCCCAGCTTGGGAGCAGAGGGAAAAGGGATGAGGTGTCCAGGAGCTGGGGTGAAAAGGGGTCTGCCACAGAAATGGATGGATCCCTCTGGAAGTGCAATGGATTTCACATCTCTCACACTGAGATGGGTTCCTTGCAGCCACAGGCTGAAGGGAATGGAGCTTGGGGTGAGTGAACGTGGAAGGAATGTCCACATGCCCTTTCTTTCTGGGAACATTGTGTGAACCAGTATGGAACAACTTCAAGGACAAAATTCTGTTTTAATGGCCTCCAAATTCCAGACATCTGCACTCATTCTTTGAGCTTGGCTTTCCTACTTGATGGATTCAGTCACCACAATTTTGAAATTAGACCTGCTGTCATCCTCCAGTCCAGACTCTGCTCCCAGGCACAATGATTCCCAGTGGTAAAGACGTACTCCATCACCCCATACGAGTTGGAGCTGTACCTGTGGGAGAACTGGGCTCTGGAAGGGTTTTAGAGCACTTTTTATATCTACTGAGCACAGCCCAGCCAAGGTGCTGTGGGACAGCTCCAGGTTCAGGCTGGTGGCCTGGCCAGCAGGGCTAACAAAGCAGTCACACCCTGATGTGCCTATTTTCCCCCCCAGGTGACCATCACATTGTCCAGCTTCAGCTCAAGTCCAAGGAAACGGGGATGACCTTTGCCAGCACCAGCTTCGTCTTCTACAACTGCAGCGTCCACAACTCGTATGTTCATTTCCTTTGGTACCAGCTTCTCATGGGCACGTGTCCCTCAGGGAGGTGTTAAAGTGTGGAGGTGGCCAGGGCTGGGGTCACTTGTGTGGTGGGTCCCTCCTGAGATGACTCAGAGTGTGGGGACCACTTTTTCTGCAGGCAGAGCACCAAATTAGGAGCAATTTGCCACAGAATTGAGTCAAAACTTAATTGTACCCTTAGCACGTGGCTCCCTTATCTTCCTATTACTCATTCTTCTGTGGATTTTTGGCTCCTCATATGCAACTCCAACCCTCATCTGTGCTGCCAGTCCCACCAGTAGCCTGCCACAGGTGGTTAACATAGACTTGGACCCTCCAGTCTGGAAAAATAAAGTTTATGGATCCTGTAGGATACACACTAAACCCGTCCGATTCCCTCAAGACCACGTAACCCATGGTGTGAACCCCATTTCCCTGGGGTTCAGCTGCCACCCAGGGCTGCTCAGGAGCTGCCCCAGTGGAGCAGACCCACAAATCCCTGCAGAAAGGTGCCCTTGCAGCAGGTTGATCCATCCCTGAGCAAGGCTGAGTGCCTCTGTCCCCACCACTGAGCCGTCAGAAGTGCCAAAAGCAGATAATTACTGCGGCTCAGCAACTCACAAGGAAAGGCAAATCCTATTTCCATGTTCCTGCTGCTTTGACAAACAGTGTCAGAAAGCAAGTGCTGGGGGTGGGGGGAGAGCAGGAGAGATGGTGCTGTTAAATATTTATGGCATGTTTTGGTTTCTTACTTGACAAACTATAATACGCTATCCATTTTTAATTCGGTGTATCAGAGCAAGCACTTGTTACCAATTTGAAGAATAAGTTGCTGTACCAGAGCTGAGAGTGGATTGGGGTTGAGCAAGATTTCACAGAGACAGGGGAGAGGGGGTGTGTCTGCCTGTTAGGCTCACACAGGAGCTCTGGGGTTTTTCTGTCCTGCCCATTAAAAACCCAGTGGCATGTAAGGACCAGGAAGATTTACTCCCCTGAAGTCTCCTCAAGGTACCCTCCAGGTGCTGCAGCTGCACAGAATCATGGAATTGTTAAGGTTGGAAAAGCCCTCTAAGATCACCCAAGTCCAGGTCAACCAGCACCACCTCCATGGTCACCACTAAACCTTGTTCCCAAGTGCTTTTTAACGCTTCCAGGGGTGGTGACTCCACCCTTGCCCTGAGCAACCTGTTCCACCTTTACAGCCCTTTCCATGAAAAAAAATCCTGGTATCCAATCTAAACCTCCCCTGGCACACCTTGGGGCAGTTTCCTCTCATTTTGTCACTTTTTACCTGAGACAAGAGCCTGTCCCCATCACTTTCCCCTCCTGGCAGGGAGTTGTGCAGAGCCAGAAATTCCCCCTGAGCCTCCTTTTCTCCAGGCTGAGCCCCTTTCCCAGCTCCCTCAGCCTCTCCTGGGGCTCCAGACCCTTCCCCAGCTCCATTCCCTGGACACTCCCCAGCCCCTCCAGGTCTTTGTTGTGAAAGTCTCCAGAGTGTGAATGACTGGCATTGTGCAGAGAGCTGGGTTTGGTTGCTGCTGAGCAGACATCATATTAAATCATATCAAATTCAAAGGGAAGTGTGATGTAGGTCCAAGTCAGTGCTGTAACACAGCCAGGGGAGGTGTTTGCAGCTCTGACTCTGCACAACCCCTGGGGCACAGGAGAGCAAAACCTTGTAAGATGGAGGGAATGGCTCTTTCCTGCACCCAGAGTAGGTGATGCCCTAAATATGCCCTCTGCTTTCCAGGTACCTGCTCCAGCAGTCTTTACTTCTCTTCTGAGATGAAAAAAATGAGTTAATAGATTTGCAGGAACCTCATCCCCCTGATCAGAACTCACACCAATAAACCTGTGGGACACAGCAGGAGAGAATTCCCTGCTTCATCTTTGGTTTTCTGCCTTTGGTACATCCCAGTTTGTCTCTGGCCTCTGTGTCATGTGTGGGAAAATTAACCAGACGAGATAGTTGGTGCCCAAGGCAGCCGAAATACAATCAATATTAATTATTCCTCTAGTTGCAATGATATGAATGCAGTCTAAATTATTTAATCAAATGAGACATTTGAGATGCCAGTGACAGCCAGCTCAGGCCAGAGCAAATCCAGCACCACGCTGCTGGTGTTGGGTCAGTGCAAAGCCTGTGTCCTCCTGCAAAAGCAATGTTTTCCAGGCCATACTTCCCTCTGGAAAGGCTGTCAGTGATGCCTTGGACAGGCTGCCTGGAGCAGAGCTGGGCAGAGTTAAAGCAGGTATTGATTAAAGACCTTTAACAAATCCAGATCCACCCTGGGCAGTGCAGGAGCCTGGCAGAGGCTACACCCGACAGGGATGACGGTCACGAGTTTTTCTGCAGATCTAAGTTTGGTCCATTTGCATATCAGGGGTTAATTGTCCAGTTACAGCTTCAGGTAATGAAGTCACATTCCCCCAGTTTGCTCCTCCCCAATTCACTTTTGTTTATACTTTTCGGGCCTGAGGCTGTGAGGTGTCCTTGGTTCTCAGGCCTGGCAGGATTGTTTTGTCTGCCCAAGCTGTGAAGAGAGCTTGCTAACACTCTGTGAGAGTTCAGAGCTATGCACTAATGCACTACAGGCTCTGAAACACAGAAAAGATAAATCTTAGGGCACATGAGGGCCCAGCTGGCCGAGTGACTGCTCTGTCTCTGTTCCAGGTGCCTGTCGTGTGTGGAGAGCCCTTACCGCTGCCACTGGTGCAAGTACCGCCACGTCTGCACCCACGACCCCAGCTCCTGCTCCTTCCAGGAGGGACGAGTCAAGATGCCCGAGGTAGGAAGGGAATGTGCCACACGTCTGGGATGCTCAGGGCTGATGTCACGTTCTCAGCCCAGGAAGCCTTCTCCACCTCCAGTCCCACCCTTTCCCTCCTCTGCTCGCCCTCCCCTCTCCCTCTGCAGGGATCTCCTCTCCCCTCTGCTCAGCCACACCCCAGGGAGATGTTCCCTCCCTCCTGCACACCACAGGCGGTGTGTGACCTTGGGAACTCATCACAAACTCCTGGCACCAAAGGCTGGGGAGGGATGGGAAACACTGGTGGTGCATCTCCTCCAGGAGAGGAGGAGGTTACTGAGACCTGGGGAGGATTTAGGGCTTTAGCCACGGGGTCAGTATGTTCCAGCTGTGTTTGGAACATCTCTGGGGCTTTGTGGATTTGGTGCCTAATGGCAAATGCATCCAGCTGCCCCCAGATTGCCGCTGACTGAGCTGAACTGGAGCTTGGGTCTTAATACAGAGCTGCAAATGCTGCCTGGCTGGTGGTGTAACCAAGGAGCCCTTGCAGGCAAGGAGAATACAAATAGGAAGCCACCTAATTCCTTCCTGGTCCCACCTTTAGTGTCTTCATGCTCCTGTGACATCCCCATTCCCTCCCACCCCTTCTGTAAATGCTGGTTGAGCTCTCACATTTGTGCTGGTTGAGATGACCTGCATCAGATGTCTTGACCTGCTCTGGCACAGGGAAAAGCCATAAATACTCATGAGTTCTCCACCTACCAGGATTAGGGATTTTCTGTAACCCTATTGGAAAGTGTGCTGAGGAGCTGGAGGGTTTGATGCCCTGAGCTTGGTCAGGAAAGGCAGCCCAGGGTTATTCCAAAGCCTTGTCACACTTTGGCCGGTCCTGATGGCCACAGGTTTCTGTCCCTTCCACTCCAGGCACTGCAGGAACCTCATTTTCTTGCTGAGTGGGATCCCCTGGGACACTTCATTTCAGTTTGCTCTCCTCTCCTCTGCTCTCCTCTGGTGTGCCTCATGTAATAAGCACAGGACTCTTCTCCTCTCCTCTCCGCCCCTCTCCTCTCCTCTCCGCCCCTCTCCTCTCCTCTCCGCCCCTCTCCTCTCCTCTCCGCCCCTCTCCTCTCCTCTCCGCCCCTCTCCTCTCCTCTCCGCCCCTCTCCTCTCCTCTCCGCCCCTCTCCTCTCCTCTCCGCCCCTCTCCTCTCCTCTCCGCCCCTCTCCTCTCCTCTCCGCCCCTCTCCTCTCCTCTCCGCCCCTCTCCTCTCCTCTCCGCCCCTCTCCTCTCCTCTCCGAACCTCACCTCTCCGAACCTCTCCTCTGGAATTCATCAAACTCTGTTTTTAGCCTGTTTTTAGCTTTTTGAACTCTCTTCTGGTTTTGTTTCTGAAAGATGTCCTCTTCAGGGGACAGCTCCACTCTGGGGGGCTTTGTTTGACAGTAGAGTTTGCTTTTCCTCTCTTCTACCCCCTTTAACAGAGAATTTGCTGCTAAGCTTTGTGCACTCCCTTTCTGAACCTGTAAAAGTGAGATTTTCATGGCAGCAGGAAGAGGCAGAATTGATCTACAAGGCAATGACAGCATCACACAATGTTACACTGGTCATTTCTAATGGGGGCTGCAGCATTTTTTTGCCTTCTGTGGGCACAAATGTGATCTCCTTGCCCTGGGATACAACATTTGGAATAACCTCCTAAGGCCAGGAGCTGTTTTTTCTGTCTGCTCCACAGAGGAAGCACTGAAATGACAAAATCTGCAAGGATAAATGCCTTGCAACCCCCAAAACTTTCAGAGCTTGCTTTGTGCCTGGCAGTGTGAGAAATGCCCTGCAGCTTCAGGGTCCTTCTCATCCCCTCTGTGTGTTTGTGGCTCTGGAGGGCTGGGGAAGGATGGCATCACAAGTGCACTCTGACAAGCAGATTTACAATCACTCTGTGGCCAGAAAGGTGTTTTTTTTTTATCAAATGGCACTTTGAATGAACGTCTATCTCCCACGCTTCTCTTGAAAAGCCATCTTCTCACTGACTCACTGCTCTCACTGAAACTTCCACTGTCTGTTTTGTACTGTCACCTGTAATTCTATCATTTTCTGGCCTGTGCACTTCTCTACTTGTTGAGTGGGTTCTCTGAACAATAGGAGCTATTCAGAACCATGAAGAAGCCAAGCCTGGCTCCTCATTGCCAGCCCAGACCTTCACCTGGCTCCTGGTGCTGCAACGTGACTCACATGGTTGACAAGAGCCAGCTCTGTTCCCATCTTCAGCAGAGCTCAAAGTGCACCCTCACCTTGAGTGGCTCTGTTTTCCTCTCATATCCATTCTCCTTTCAATCCTTTCCTCTGCCAGCATTTGGAGCCCTGGAGGATGAGGAGAGGGAAGGCTTTGCTTCCACCCAGGCATGAGTACCTGCTAAGCTGGTGAATCTTGAGGAGGTGCTGATGGGAAGCATGGGGTGGTTGGAGGATCCCATTTGCTGTCTCTCCATGAGTTTGCTGAGCAGATTAACTTGGGCATCTTCCCAAACAAATATTGGTGTTACTCTGTCACATGGACCCGTGCCAGGAACTCCTTCCCTCTGGAGTCATCAGTGCCGGCATGCCAAGCCTCACCTTCCCCCTCACTGTGGCCTTCACCTTCCCTTGCTATGCCCACCTCCAGGTGATTTTTTTCCCTCTGTTTGCCTGTACAACATCTTGCCATCCTGTGGGAAGAGGCTTCCCACTCTCCAGCTGGCCTGGGCTGGAAATGGGCTCATTGGGCTGGCAGCCCTCATGCCTGGGCCAGTCTGGAGTGCTCTGAAAGGGAGGTTGTGCCCTTGTGTCCTCCTGACTCCATCATTTCCTCAGGATGCCTCGCAAGTTTCTGGACTCCCACGGGCTCAGCCTTTCATTTAGGACTTAGTCATGTTCTCTGAGAGGATCTTGGGGTTTTTTGCCTGTATTTCCTTGTAGTATGACCTGCTGATTTGTGCAGGATGCTGGATGGATGTGAGACTGATCCAGAGGGACAGCAGAAAGGCTTTGGCTGTGGCCCTCATTGCCCAAAAAATGCTATTACCTGCCACCCAAGGGCAGCTTTGAATTGCCTCGTGGAGATCAGCCAGCCCCAGGCTGGGAATGGCAAAACAACCAGAAATGGGGAAAGGACAGAAAATGCCTGTTCCCTCACCATCAACACTGAGATATGACTTTCTTACCTGCCACTTGTCAGGTGAATCAGTTCTGTCTGTGACAGATCTGGATCAGCCACGCTGGGAGCCTTGGGAAAGCCCATGTTTGCTCCAGCAAAGAGCTCCAGCTTAGTCATAAAGCAAGAGTATTTATGATTATGGCACTGATCTTAATCACAGAGGGTTCATGATGTCCCCGGATGATTTGCAGAAGAAATACTTCACCTTGGCGTGTAATTTCCCTTTACAGCAGGTTTTTGAAAGCCAGACCCACTCGCTTGAAATATACTGAGTGACTTCTTGCTTTAAAAGGGGAGCTGATATCATCGTTACTGAGGCAGGAAGGGAAAGCACGAGAGAAAAAAGGACATTTTAATGTTGGAGTGGATTGTTGCTGCTGCTGCTGCTGTTTTTCCCAAAGAGCTGATGGCAAAAGTGGAGAGAATTAGTCTCAGAAATAGAAGGACTTTTTGGGGTTTTTCTTTGTCATCCTGTCTCTGCTTTTGGCATCTGCTGCTGACCAGAGTTAGAGTGCAAGCTCAGAGTCTGAGCACAAACCATTGCCTTGCAGATTCCCACTCTGAAATCAACCATTACCTGACACAATCCTCAAGCAAGACAGCTCAGCCACTTCCTTCTGCAAATGGGCAAGACAGTCAACAAGAACTGGGGGAAACTGAGGCAAGAGGTGTTAAACAATGGATCTGTGGGTCTCCAATGTGACAGGGGCTGTAGGAACAACACCTGTCTCCTGATATCAATTACCCAATGCTGACTGTCTCATCTGCCTTGTCTCCATTCAGATCTGCTCTGATCCACGGAATAGTTTTCATGTCAGTGTTTCTCTACAAGGCTGGGATGCTGGGATAGCCTGCTTGAGTTGATGGGATAAAGGAATAAATCTTTTATTTGTGCCTTTTTCTCTAACATGAACATTATCTTGTTCCAGGCCTTGCAAGGATTTTAGCTTTGTGTAGGGGAGAAAGAATGGGGAAAATGGCACAAGCCAAAAGCAAGCCTAGATAACAAATCTGTTATTCACCAGGTTTAACAGATACATAATCATTTAATTACCTTGAAGGAGGTTTTCATCTTTCCCTGCTCAGCCGACATGTGCGTGCGTGTGTTTTTCTTCCTCCCCCAAACAAGCCTTTCATTAAAAGGATTTTCATCTGCTGCCTAAAAAGGGAAGAGAAGAAAAGATCTCGCACCGAGGTGTTTTATGTTGAGTTGTACGTGCTAATGACAGCAAAGCCCACATAAAAGGAACAACTGCTTCAAATATTCATTTGTCAGGAGTGATGGGGAGCCCTGTGAGCCGTGTGCTGGCGAGCAGCTGCCGAGGAGCAGAGCACAGCTTAGCTCCTGCCTTGTGCCAAACCAAGAGCTGCCCTGGTGGCCTCCATCACCAGTGCACTGATTTAGCTCTGCCTGGCTGCTGGTCCTTCTTGGGAAGGTGTTTGTTGGGAAATGGGGTGGAAGGAACGGTGGGAAGAAGAAGGTGGAGGGTGATGATGCCTGAACTGACAGGCATCTAAGAGGCATTTGGATAATGTCCTTAATAACAGGTTTTAAATTTTTGTTAGTCCTGAAGTGGTCAGGAAGTTGGGCAGGATGGTGGTTGTAGGTCCCTTTGAACTGGAAATACAATGTTTTATTCTATTCTACTCTATTAGGTCCCTTTGAACGGAAAACTATTCTATTCTATTCTATTCTATTCTATTCTATTCTATTCTATTCTATTCTATTCTATTCTATTCTATTCTATTCTATTC